AGTTAAGGAGCACTTTTTGTCGGAGGAACTTAATTTTTCATAAATCTTTCATTAGAACTTACCGGTTTCGGTAGCGTTGTGAAGTATCTGAGTATTTATGTGTGCCTATATATTAAAATTTCTGTTATTGTATTGTTTTTTCTTTTAATTTTTCCCCCCCTTTCGTCTTCTTCTTATCTAATTATCAGGAAATCTTTTGCCTTGTGTTCCGCACAACCTCCCTTACTCGCTTAGCTTATTTTATTTCCAGCTCATTGGGTTGTCTGGAAGAAATCGCTCATTAGCGATAAGACCGCCCTTTGTGCAATGTTGTATTTTTCTACTTGTTTTGTATCTGCTTGTTTTGTTACTGTGTTGTGCAATAAAGAGCTTTTATCTTATCTTATCTTCATCCGGCGTAACAACTGAAACGGCCGTAGGTCACCGAGACCCATCTCGACAAGAAGTTTCTTGAATTGTCTCTGCTCCGTTTCTTCATAGCAGATTGTTATGATGAAAATTAGGCGTTGTTTAATGCCATCATATTTTTGTTCTGCCTGTGGAATAATTAGCAAATCACTTACTTGTTGTATCTCGTTTTTTCGATTCGATTTCTTTTTCGATTGGGCCATAACCCACCACGCGGGCCCAGTGCGGATTGGCGGGTGCTAACAACTGCAGATGCAGCCGGGACCAACGGCTTAACGTGCCTTCCGAAGCACGGAGAACTCGAGATAGAAGATTTTTGGTCACCCATCCAATGACCGACCACTGCGGAAGTTGTTTAACTTCAACGATCGCAGCCGAACGCGCTAACCACCTGCGCCATCGAGCTCCTCGAACAGTATAATTACATAAAATTAAATTTTACAGGAGCTGTATAAAACTGAATGTCATACCTCCAGTGAGTTTTTGTTATGGTTTTTAATTTATAAATTTGGTAATTTTAACACTGTTTGAAGTGGTTTTGATTGAAAATTATTTGAGATTCAAAGGACCCCTGGACTCAAAAATAAAAGTGAGTGTGCTTATGACCACACCACTGAAGTGAAACTTCTTTAGCTCCAATGATCTGAAAATCATAAACTTAACCTGAAGATTTGTTGATAGAAAAAAAACCACCAATCAGCGCTGGGCCTGTTATCACCCTCCAATCCGCGCTGGGTCCATTATCATCCACCAATCCGCGGTGAGTAGGTTATCACCCTCCAATCCGCGCTGGGTCCATTATCACCCACCAATCCGCACTGGGTCCGTTATCACCCTCCAATCCGCACTGGGTCCATTATCACCCACCAAACCGCGCTGGGTCCGTTATCACCCACCAATCCGCACTGGGTCCGTCATCACCCACCAATCCGCACTGGGTCCGTTATCACCCATTAATCCACCCTGGGTCCGTTATCATCCACCAATCCGCGCTGGGTCCGTTATCACCCACCAATCCGCGCTGGGTCCGTTATCACCCACCAAGCATTAGATTCATGTATTTTGTGACGGGTATTGTTCATTGTTTACCGATGAGTCACGTAACGCAAAAATCGCCACACATTCGCCAGTTTACCCCCCAAGTCAAAAGTCAAGCGTGCTTAAAGAAGTTTCACTTAAAAAATAAGTAGTTTGACCAGATGCGTAATTATAAAATTTAGTTCGCCAGCTACTCATTTGTAATCATCCTTGTTTCTGTGGTGCGACGATCGCTTTAAACTGGGTGAACCATAAACGTGGTGAGTCCGTCCAAAAATTGGGGATGCGGTCGCCAACGGAAATTGTTGCTATCTCCGGTGTTTCTGTGGGCAGACTGTCCCTGATGTCCGTTGGTAGTGTGGGAGCCATTGTGGAAAAATGAGCCAGAAATGTATATAATTCGTAACAGTGATGTAGTTGTTTTGTCATGTCAGACGATTCTTCTGGGCGTGATTTTCGTCGGGCGTGACTTTCGCTGGGCGATTCTTCTGGGCGTGACTTTCGTCGAGCGATTCTTTTGGGCGTGATTTTCGCCGGGCGATTCTTCTGGGCGTGACTTTCGTCGGGCGATTCGTCTGGGTGTAATTTTCGTCGGGCGGTTCTTCTGGGTGTGACTTTCGTCAGGCAATTCTTTTGGGCGTGACTATCGTTGGGGTTACCAATTGTTGCGGGCTCCGCGGTTAAATAATAACACCACAGGTTAATATATTGGAGTATAATTTCTGACTGGCTTTAACAACTAAAAATACTAATCTATAGACAAAGAAATTAGAGGGGAATAAACAGGAACTTATGATGTTTTCTCATTACATCACGTTATTAACTATTTATCACGAATGTTACGTGCGATGATTATTGTGTTGACGGCACAAACAAATACAGTCCTTGTTCCATATAAACCAGTTGGAACCTTAACAAACTGAGTTGATTGTGCGGGGATAACAGTCTCAAATAAATTAATGCTTGTATATTTTTACATGATTCTGCATATTGTGTCTTTAATACGTGAGAGCTGAGGTCAATTTGGATTTCCACTGTTCTAGGAGATCTAGGCCAATTAAAGCATCGAAATATTCGTGGAATCGATAGACAAAAAGTTTTATAGGGTTTTGATCATTAAATTCAGGAAAACAGGGTATAGTGACTGAATAGTCATTTTTAGTCGAAGCGTGTATGTTCGTGATAGTAAAATTAATTAATATTTCAATTCAGTGTGAAAAAAAGTGTACGGCTGTTGTGTCACTCATTTGCTCATAACTTGCTGCGGTCATAGTCAAGGTCAGTATTGTTAAAAGTTTCAGGGTCAAGGAATTCGTAATTGTATTTATGAGTGGAACTCCTGCAACTGGATGGCTAATGCCGCTCATATGCATAGGGCAGTTTTGATGATTCTGTAAGAGATTTCCTCGAGGGCGAGTTTGGAAACCCACTTGATTTAAATCTTTGTTAGCCATTAAATTGTATAATTGAGGTTTTAATAAACTTTCCTCATATTCTATGCTCTTTTCAGAGAGCCAAGCCTGCATGTCACCTTTTTTAGAATTTGTACTTGGTGCGATGTTCTATTGCTTATTATGATTTGATGCGTTGTCGGCTACCACGACAGAATTAGACGGTAATTTCGGAATTAACTGTGTCCTCAGCCATTTCTCATAATCATAATAATTCATATTGTCGTGGTAGTCGCCTGATTTCGCACCAGCTTTAAAAGTTAGGAGTGTGTTCGGTATGAGCCTAGCCTCTGATCCTGCGTGGACAATGACCACCCGCTGTCCTTTGGAGATGGGTTTTTGAGATCTTTCGTAGTACCATCGGTCCAGGATTTTCGAGTGCGAAGAGCGTGAAGAGTGCGATGTATCCACGTATTTCATCGATATATACGATAGACCTTCCCTCTTGGCGATATTTTGTTTTGCGTATGTAATCGATACGTTGCAAACGCATATTTGAAGTTTCGATCAGTACTTTTCAGTTGTTTTCAGTATTTTCCACCGAAACCCTAAACTCTTAATAATTCGTCGTAGAGTTCGTTCTGAGCCTTTGAAATTTATATCTTCTTGTAGCTTCTTCTTCAACTTTCCAACGGTGGAAAGTTAGGTATGCACCTTTTTATTACTCCTTGATCGAAGTTATCAATATCTGTGACCGGTTTTCATCTGGAGTGTTTGTTGGCTGGTGTTCTGAATACTGATATTAAATCGAAACTATTGGCTTCAGAGGAAATTTTCCTTACCGTTGCTATGGAAGTTTTGGTATACTCAGCTGTCCTTTTTTGAATTTTTCCCTAGATCACTAATTATACTATTTAATTTCATATTTTCCACCTGCATAACTTCTGCAGTTTTTTTTTGTTTGGCTTAAATCTACATTGCTGCTAAACTCAGGAACGAGCCTTTAAGGTTTCCTTACTAGCCTTTTACAACTATATCAAAGTCAACTGAGTTGAAGGCGTTGCTTAAATCAAGCACCAGCAACCAGCTAAGTTGCCGATTATCCATTCCTCGGCAGATATCGTCCGAAATTTTTAACAATGCGGTCGGAGCTGTGGCTCCTACGAAAGCCAGACTGAAGAGTTGAGGAGGACGTTCGAATTGAGAAATGCCGTGAGCTGCGTGGAGAATGGATATGGGACGGTATTCCGAAAACGAGGTAGGATATGATTTTTTGGGGAGAGGAATCAGATTGGCATCTTTACACAGCAAGTATGCAATACTTGCACGCTAGCTTAGCGTTAGGCAGACCCGGTCTACCTGGGCGTTTTCCCCGCCCTCCACGACAACGGCTAACTACAGCTGAGATTCTAGTCTCAGAGATGCTCTAGTTGAGCCGACTCCTTCAGTTTCCTGTGGTCTAGAGGCTCCTGACGGAGAGGAGTCTCCCTCCGTGGAGATGCTATCCGCGTGGAATACTCAAAAAAAAAACCTGAGACAGTGCACAGTTTACATCGTCATAATTAGTTTTACACATATTTGTAGATATATAATATAAATAGTTCAGGATTCTAGTCTACCAGATCTTTCCGAGCTTTCTCTGAGGTTCAAAACCTATAAATAATTGCAGACTGTAGATCTGAGCTAAAAGTTTTAATTTCAACTCAATACCTCCACGCGTTTATGAGACAAAGGGTCTTGACAGACAGCAACAAAGTGATCCCCTATAGGGGTTTCATTTTTGCATTTTGAGGTACGGAACCCTAAAATTAAATTAATTATTCACATTCTTACTAATAACACATGCGAACTACAATGGTTGTTTGCAACAATCGCTTTATAAAAAAAATCGTACCTAATAAATTCAAAACTATTATTATGATTGCTATTATTGATTTATATTTATATTATTATTAGAAGTAAATAATAATATAAATCAATAATATCAATAACTGTCAAAATTATGTCTATATTTTCTGTTAATTTCAATTAAGTTATTTAGTGATATGGGAATCACTGTGTAAATCTATAATTGGCAAAAATATAATATGTAAACAGTAAAAACCATACTTTCTGTATAATGACTGATGATTGTGCTGTTGATGTACCTATAAATAAATTTAGTTCCAGACGATGGAAACTCTATCAATGTCATTCGATCGTCAGAAACTCATCACTTTAAATGTTCAATAAAAGTTGATTATAAGCCGTCGATGTATTTCAATGGTTCAGGTAAGTACAAAAAACTATTGCCATATTAAAGGACATTGTTCAGCGTTCATACAGTTAGCCTTAGAACCAAGAATCATGAAATATTATTTTCTAGGTTCGAAATCGTAAGTAAATGACTGTAAAAACAAAGATTATTGACGGACACTTCTGAGAACTTAAATTATTAGGAAAACTAAACGTTTTTTGAGGTTATGTTTAATATTCAATGAAACATAGGTCAACCTATGAACTTAGTATGAAGTGAATTAATATTACAACTAATTCATTTTATTCAGTCCAATTTTAAAGAATAACTATTAGGAAAACCTTGGATAGGTAGGAATCATGAATAAAATAAAAACTGTAGTTTTGCTTCTTATTTATTGACTATTTTTCACATAATTGTATCATATTGTATATGGTATTTATTTGTATATCACATGTATATTGTGTAAATGTGCAGCGTGAATGTGTATCAGGTATTCTTGAATAATTTGGCAGTATGATCCTCTCAGGATGTTGTGGCACAGGTTCACTAGCACTTGGTAATAAGGTCTCTGCACTTTGGTAACATCGATGGCATATTAGCTAGCCGAAATAGAAATTAAAGGAAAACAATCGCAAATAAACACACACTACAGGTAATCCGAAACGAAAATGCACTTTCCTGTATATGATACTACTCTTTGGTATGCACGAATGCCACAGATTACTACCAATGCAAACTGCCTGCTTGCACCACAACCAGAGAGTATCAAGTTTTATGCCGGCCCTTCACTTGACAACAGTTTGTCCTTGTCATGCTTAATAAGGAATGAAAAGGACAGACTGATGTCATGCTTTAAAATAGCAAATACGAATAGCCAAGTGAAGTGCCGGCATTAGGAAGAAAGAGTGTTTTCTTTGCAGCGCTGTCATAGATTATACACATAAAATGGTATTTATTGTCTCAGATTATTTTTTAACTTTTTAATTTAGCTTACTTTACTGGAAGTGTCCGTCACAATCTAAATACTGATAATTATCCCAAAAAATATATTAAGAATTATCATAAATGCCAAATTGGTGTTGGTTCTTAGGTCAATTTTAACATTGTCCTTTGCTTGTTGACTGAAATTTTCGACCGACCGACTGAAATTTTGTTTCTTGCATTAATATAATATTTTTTTCAGGCGTAATCTATAATTTTCCTGAAAAGTGTAAATATTACAGTAGTTCTGCAACTTCAAATAACTCGTACAACGTGAATTTCACCATCCACGAAGTGACTCTGTTTCCTGAAAAGCTGAAGAACAATTCAAGTCGCGAGATTCCGAATTTTACGTTAACTAGTCAGAAGTTAACGGACGAAAAAGGTATGTAAAACACCGGCCAAGTGTGAGGCGGACACCCGCACAAAGGGTTCCGTGCCATAACCTATACAAAATAAGACACTCAGATAAATGATTGGTCTCGCTTCGCTCGGCTAGAAACCGCGCAGTCAAAAAAAAAAACCGGCCAAGTGTGAGTCGGACCCGCGCACCGAGGGTACCGTACAAAGGTTTTACGGTTTTCGCAATTTTTCCTTTATCTGTACTATAAGACGTTACCACGGTAATATTATCTATACAGTATTCTATCTTCATACAAACGGTCGGAAAGCGTGTCATATCTACGCCACTCGTGTTCGCGCGGCACCCGGTGGGCATCCAGTCGCGAATGCGCCGCAGCGACGACCGAACGGTGTGAATTGTTTTTTAAGCAGTAAGCCGTGCTTTTTAAACGTTTGTATTGTGAATACTTGATTGAATTAAGTAGCTAACTACATAATTTAATATGGCAAAGAGTAATAGTCGATATTGTACTGTTTTTGGGTGCTTGAACTCTTTAATAATTAAACTTTTTATACGAATGCGTATTTAATATACTATTAAATTTAATAATAAAGCTTTTCGTACGTCTCAGTCAAGGCGTAAATATTTTTCCGTTTTAAATCTATATTTCTTTTTATTATATATCACACATAAAATAACATGTATTTTATTTAACACTTCCTAATTCATTCATAACATTATTTTTTTACATATCAAATAAAATATTAACTATCACAAAACTAGAAAGAAACTCAATTATGTATATGAAATTAAAATACTGTAGGCGGGCAGCCCCAACGCGTGGATACGCCCCGCTCGGCCGTAGGCAGTTATTTCAAGGACAGGGCCCGAGTCACAATACTGTATAGATAATATTACCGTGACGTTACTTCGTACCAAATTTCAAGATCCTAAGTTCACGGGAAGTACCCTGTAGGTTTTGATTCCCGTGCGAGTTTAGAAAATTTGTGGAAATTTATGCATATCCGGCTGTATCTTTTGATTTCTTTGGCTTAAAAGATTGATTTTTTCACAGCACCAAGGGACAGTAGACTTGAGTATTAGGTATGAATTTCAGTTGGATACCTCCAAGCGTTCCTGAGAAAAACGTCTTGACAGACGGACGGACGCACAACAAAGTGATCCTATAAGGGTTCCGTTTTTTCCTTTTGAGGTACGAATCCCGAAACAGTTCCATAAATGCGGCAATACATTATTGTAGTGTCCTACATATATGTCAGTTTGTAAGCATTCTACTGTGTGTGAAGAATCTTGTAGCCAGCTGCTCAACTGCTACCCAAGTAATAGGAAAAATATTTCATGCTGTGTTTTGTAGAATATAAATAATATAATACGTCGAATGCGATGCATGCGCAAATATCAATATTATTGTGTACTTATACGATTAAGCCTAGGTTTCTTCTTCAGAAAATAGTAGGTGTAGGTATCATAAGGTACAATCAATATTTTTTTTTATTTACCTTATATATTTACAAAATAATATTAAAAAGAATAAAGAGAATATTAGGTACATTAGTCAAATGCCAGTACGTGGCGCGCGGTAACAGTCCAAGCAAATGTCGCCCGCCGGACTCTTGGATAAAATGCGATGAAGCTAGGACAATAAAAACTACTATCGTAAAGCTGATTTTATCAAGAATCCACCACAGAATATTTGGATCTTTGTAACTCAAAAATCGATTAACTATAGCGGTAAGTTTATCATTTCCAGATATTTTTTGTCGAGGGAATCTTTGCAAGTATGAAAGCCAATTATATCACAATTATCTGGATATATGAAATAGCAATAGGTAAGATGCATTATTCAAGATATAAAGCTCCACAAAAAATAACGTATTCCAGCGAGCCGTAACAGAACATACGAAGTTTTTTTTTATTTAGCTATAGCCGGTCTGTTAATACTAGGAGGTCACAGATGATGTAATCTATCCAAGTAGAGCATCCATAAGCCAAGCAAACCTCTTTTTGGGCTTAATTAAAAAAAAACCAATGAGCGTCGCGGAAATTTTAATGTGGTAACTAGGGCTGTAGCTAGAGTCGAATTTGAGGTATTTCATTGACCTCTAAGTCAATGATGTACATTCAATAGCTATTCTTAGAAAAATAATTTCTGTGACAGAGCATGAGCATGGATCTAAGTACTATTAAATCCTCAATGATGAAGAACAAACGAAAAAGGTCCACGTCTGAGTGAGAGTGAGGTAATAATATATTGTTGGGTGGAGTGATACGACTAAATAGATACGACCTTTCCAATTTTATTGTTTTCGTCTTACGATCAGGACACGTGGCCTGTGATGCGATCAGCCCACGTGTCATGACGCGAGTTTAACATTTTTTACCCATACGAAAAAAAAGTGTACAACGCCGCTAAAGAAGTTTTCACTTCAAAATGTTGATTGCATTCTCTTTTTTTCTTATTATGTATTTTTGGTTCTCTGTCATAGAAAAGTTAAAATGCATTATATGATAGTATGATGATTATAAATATAATAATGTATCTACGAGAACACTGCCGACAAACTACGTTGCAGTTTGGCAGATATAATGTAATTTTGTATGTAAATTTTTTTTGGTGAAAAAATAAAAATAAAATAAAAAATCTCAGCATAATATGAATCATCGCTAGTTCATTTCAGATAAGCTCTCATTGACAATTTTCAACGCGATCGACAAGACTGAAGTGAAGAAGAACTTTGAAGATAATGTCTACTACTACAAAGATGGTGATCACTTGACCTTTTCCTGTAGTCGCCCCGCTCCTAAGAGCATTCTTCCATTGATGGAAACCAGACTTAGTATTGCTCAAATGAATGGTAAGTGAGTCCTTATTAGTGACAAAACATTAGGTGACGGGATTGCATAGAATGCTTAATTTACGTGTAAAGAGTATGATATAGTGCGTTTCAAAGTTAATGCTAGCTGTGGAGTCAGCGCAAGTCGCGGCGCAGTAAACGAAATGTAGGGTGATGTAGCCTGTAGGTGCGCGTGGAATCTCACTGACCTGAAACCTGCTCATGGTTGCGATCGCTGCTAACTTTAAACCGCCTTAAAGTTTGAATCGCACTATAAGTATTGCTTTTATACACTCTAAAAGATTACCCCACCCCTTCGTTGTTCAGAGTAAGCATATGAGTAAAAAGACGTACAGAGACAAAGTTTCATGCAACTGCGCGTGTCCCGTACGCAGTCACACGCCAGTAAAAAAAAACGACGGGTTGCACTCCGGGAGTGCCGGCAGAAGTGAAAACTTGAATATTAACGTTGTGCATTTTTAATATTTTGGAATGGTTAGGGAATAATTTTGCACGAATTGCTTTTAATATTAGTATAAAATACTATTTATTACGTGGTAGAATACAATATTTATTTATTGCGCTATCGTACACAAACATGACAATTTATATTACATTAAAAACTACTTTTATTTAATGAGTGATGTGCGTGAAAACCTAGGAAAGAAATATACATTAAAAAGTTTATCTCTCAGAAAAATCAACTTCATGAATCACGCTTAAGCGCACTTAGCGACATTTATTGTAAAAAAATCAACTTACATCAATCACATTTAAGCGCACCTAGCGACATCTATTGTAAAAAAATGCATTTTGTTCGCAATAAAGCTGCCACCTGGACGTCCTAGATAGAAACTTATTATTATAATACGAATAAAATAAATTATTACTATGTGTCGACCAATATATTGAAAGTCAACCACCTTTCCAATTTAATTGTTTTCGTCAGAACCCCGATCAGGCCACGTGTCATGACGCGATCAGCCCACGTGTCCTGACGGGAGTTTAACATTTTTTACCCACACAAAAAAGTGTAAAACGCCGCTAAAGAAGTTTTCACTTCAAAAATCCACCTGCTCTATAGAAGCTTTGTCTCTGTACGTGTCTATATTTCCTACTCATGTGGTGTAACTATAGATGTAAATGCGGTTGTTATCAACCACATTTTTCGCTGATCACCCATAAACAGCGGTTGTTTACGGTTGAAAACATTTCATATCTGTTTTGTTTTAAGTGATTATTTTTGTTTATCTACATACTAAATACCTTGTTATGCCCTTACACTCATCATCACGCACTATACAAGTAACATTATAGATATTAACGGGATTGTTACCATGTACCTTGTTTTTTATGAGTCTTCGATATTTCGGCACTGTTGCAAGCGCCATGATCACGGAATATACAAGTAACATCCAACTAGGACGTGATAAACAGTAATATACCTAAAGTAATACTCAGCGATGTTTTAACCGTCAGCAAACTTTACATCTTAAGATCTACTCTTAAGTTGCGTACAAAAATATCTTGTAAACCTATTACGGAGACCCGAAGGAGAGTGCACAATATAGTATTACCTGTTAAAACTAAAACTTTATTCGCTAAACGTCAATTTTCTGCACTCTCAACTTTCCTAATAATCGTAGACATAAGTTACTGGTTATTGATCATTATAATAACAGGGATTACAAAAATGCGTTGCCAGTCTCCTCAAGTTTGAAACCCAGATTTAGTAATTCACCTAATATACTGTAGTAAATGGATGGTGTATTCAAAAAGCGTTGTTACGTTAACAGAAACTGCAATGACGAAACATCAAAGAAGAATCTGCCCGGAACTTATATTATAACTATGAATGTTAATGAAAATTGCGAAGCATCAATAAAGACGGTGCAATCAAAGAAGCACTATACAAAAGGGAACTCAATAGAATACAAATTTGTTTCTTTAGGTTTTTTAACGTCAATAAATAAATAAAGTTTCGTGCATTAACCCGTGAAAAACTAGTTATTTACCTAAATTATCACAAATGAAAAATTAAATTTCTATGAAACCCGTCAATTTGGATGATGCAAACTTGGAAAACTTACAGTTGCTTTATACGCTTTAAAGAAGCAAAAAATCCAGGATACCAGTGTGGAAACAGTGAACGTAAAAATGCTTTAGCATAGGAATTTTAATTTAATATCCAATAATAATCATAATTACCTGTATAACATAACAAATCATGTAGAATTCGAAATCGCCCGAAAACAGTAAATTCGGAGGATTTCAAACTTAAAGAGGGAGGGGTTATGCCCTTACACCCGTGATGCTAGGTGGTAATACGTGGGTGTAAGAACATATAAATATGGATCCCATCCTGCAAGATGATGATTCCGATTCCATAATCAGTCTAGATCAGTAGGTTAGGCTCAATCCTGAGTAAAGTTATAAGTTTTAATATTATAACTAGTCTGGCCATAAATTCTTTTACATAAAAACTTTATCTTTTTTCAACTTTTTAATTATTTTGAATGTGGAACACATATATAATTTTAAAACTTCTTTCGTTTTGCGCCATTTCACATATTTTTTCGTGTTTATTATCAAATTACAATATGGAATGGGATGTTAAAGAAAATAGCATTCCAGTGATCACCTTGCACAATGTGGGTATGGTGCCGTCGGTCATATTCCAGACACTTCAAAGGCTTGGTATCAGCCGTATGTTCGTATATCGTACTATCAACAGATACAACAACACTTTGTCTGTCAAAGACCAGAAAAGATCGGTGCGGCCGCGTGCTGTTAGGACTAAAAAGGCTGTTAAAGCCAGAATTTGTCGTAAATTAGAAAGCAAAAAGTCTTATCGCGAGAAATGGAGATTCTAGGATTTGCGTATTATAAAACAAGACCTGGAGCTCAGTGCTTGCCCTAAATCAATATTTACAATTAAAGAGAGTGGATCGATCAAAACGAAAAAAGATGAAAAGCACAGAAATAAAAATTTACCGATAAAAAAAATTTCACGATTGAAGAACGCTACAATAAGCAAAATGATACAGTGTACGCTCACAGTTCGAAAAAGTTACAACATGGATATTATCCTGCGCCAGTGATGGTTTGGTGGGGCGTGTCTTACCAAGGAGTCACAAAACTAATATTTTGTGAAAAAGGAGTGAAAACTTCAGCCAAAGTGTATCAAGATACAGTCTTGGATCCTGTAGTGAAACCTCTCAACAATACACTTTTAAAAAATATAGCGTGGACTTTCCAGCAGGACTATGCACCTGGTTACAAGGCACGAACTACCCAAGCCTGGCTCGAAACCAACTTTCCGGACTTTATAAGAGCTGAAGACGGTCAGTTTTCCCAGTCTCATTTAGCCCAGACCTCAACCCTTTACACTTCAAATTATGGTCAGTTTAAGAGGACATGACCTGCTCTAAGCGACACGGCAACGTGGAGTCCCAAAAAAAATCTTTTGAGCAAGCAGTGGCAAAATTACCCTTGGAAACAGTGCGTAAGTCCATACACACATCAAAAAAAGTTTGAGAACACTTGCAAAAGCTGATATATTTTCAAAATTTAACTTAATCAAGAGAAAATGTTTGCGTTATATCTTTTTTTTTTTAATTCGCTGTTTGTAATTAAAAAATAAAACTAATTTTATTTTTTAGTCTAAAAATTTAATAATTGAATCCCAAGGCGATTGTTACAGAACTTTGATAGAAATAAAAAGATAGTTAACCAAACTTAAAAACCTTTTATTAATAAATACAAAATAACTCCTCCTTTGGCTCGAACACAAGCGGAGATTCTCTTGGGCATGCTGAGGATCAAGTTATCCAGCATTTCTTGTGGTTATATGTCCCATTCTTGAACAGCAGTTTCCCTGAGCTGCGGCACTGTCTAGGGTGGTGGCTGCCAGTTCCAAACAGCTCGCTTAAGAGCATTCCATGCGTGCTCTATTGGGTTTAAGTCAGGAGAGCCGGCAGGCCAGTCTTACCTTGTGATTTTGTATATTCGGAGAGCAGCATTGAATCGTTGAGCTCGACGTGCGGACGCATTATCGTCAACCAGTACAAATTGGTGCCCATGGTTTACTCGGAAAGGTCTGACGATTCCATCAATAGCTACTGTTTTGTATCTGTCTGCCGTCATGAAGCCTTAATAAGGGATTAAAGGCATTCTAGCCCCAATAATCAATCACAATCAATCATAATAATCATTAAAGGCGTTCTAGCCCCAATCATAATACCACCCCAAAAGGATGATTTCCCGCCTTGTTAAACAGTTTCAGTGGCCGTTCTTTGCCTTTCAAAGTCTCCAGATCTTCTCCAAACACGGACACGTCGGTTATGTGGATGAGTACTGATTCGCGATTTGTCAACAAAGGGGCAGTTTTGCCAAATGTTTTCCTCTTCGTCTTCTTCATTTTGCCGGAGCCTAGCCCACTGTAATCTCCGTCGCTGACGTTCCCGTGAATTTTACGGTGCTCGCCAAGACCTCCGTGCACGTAATCCAGCCTTGCGCAAGCAATTCCGAATGGTCTGAGTGCTAACTTCAAGTCCGAAAGCGGCCCGTGTTTCTGGTTTTAATTTAGTGGCGTTTATTGTTGGGTCGCGGGCTACCAGCAATCTGATGTAGCGCTTCTGAGCAGCTGTCAACAGTTGGGCGACCGCGGCGGGGTCGAGTAGCTAAATTACTCATGCCGTGGTACCTCTGCAACGTGGTTACTAGGATATGGTGCTCTCTCTGCGTGCTATTTCTCTCGTAGAATAGCCTTCTTCTCTCAAAGTTACAATTATGGCTCGTAAATATCTGATAATCCTTGTGGCATTTTTTTAAAATCACAACTTTCCGTGAAAAAATATTTTAAATTCAAAAATATTGACTAAGTCAGATTAGCTTGGATTGCATGACTATTTATATGGAAAAACAATTGATTTATTTTACTGTTTTACGTTCTAATTCTAATTTCAAAATTTAGAATGTTATCAGAAAAAGAAAATACAAAAAAACAGTCTTCTGTAACA